AATGTGGTCGATCTCAGCATGAGTCGTTCCGTTGGGCGATTCCCAAGTCCACCGGCGATATTCTTTCTTCATGAAGATGGAGTTTCCATGGAAGAGTCGTGCGGCGGAGAGGAGCCCAACGAGACGGTTGCCGTTTTCGTTTCGGAGCCCATATCCAAACTTCCCGATCCTACATTCCTTTTCTAGTGGCATCCCGATTTTCGCATTGAAGTCGCCCACAACATACTTGTAGAAGGACTTTTCGTTGCGGACGACCTCCTCCACGTCTTCGTTGAAAGCATCTAGTTCTGAGTCGTCAGCTGCTGATGTTGGCGAGTAGCAGTTGATGATACTGATGGTCTTCTGACGTGGAGGGCGTAGTCGTAGGATGCCTAGTCGAGGTGATAGGATCTCGTGCGAATCGACAAGATGGACGATAGATGGATGGACGACAAAGCCGACGCCTCCCACGTTTCGTGATGAAACCTTTTCACCACGAATGATGAGGGTCCCATCACTCATCTGTCGAACGTCCTTCTTCCTGGACTTCGTTTCCTGCAGAGCGATGATGTGGTACTTGATGTGCTCTGCAGCGTCGAGAAGAGCGTGGAGGTTGGCGTTTGTGGAGACTGTCCTGGCGTTGTAGGTGCAGAGCATGAGGCAGTCTCCATGGCGTGTCGTCCGGGCAGACGTGTCGTTTTTGTCCAATCCGAAAGGCGCCCTGAGTACCCTGACATCGTTCTTGCTACCACCCGGCGCCGTAGGCGGGATACGATGTGCAGGGTTTCTTTCTAATCTTCTAACTGGAGGAGTAATATGAATTTTTCCCTACAAGAGGTGGCTTACTAGGCCTACTCTTGATTTCCACGGGGCGATCGCTGACCCCGGGCTTGGAGCGGGGAGGGACCGCCTAGCGACCAGAAGAAGCCAGACGGCGGAGGATCTGGCGTGGCCAGTTCTTAGCTAGGCATCCGGCCGAAACCGGAAACGTCGAACTCCTTCACAGCTTGGGAGGCCCTACCAGAGTATACACTCGGCTGTGCATCGCAGTTCGACACCCAGTGTCACCCCCACGCCACGATGAGGCGACCGACCATTGTGGGGGTTGAGACACCTTGTACTGATATAAGTATTGATTGGGTTGTATCGTAGGTTTGTTGCTTTTTCGTTTTGGGTTTTCCTTATTACTTTGTAGAGCATCTGAAAGCTGATATGTGCTCGAAAACTGTGAGACTATCCTACAAAAATTATTGCGTCATTCTCCAAATCAGTGAAAAAGAACTTCTCCACTCTCCGGACTTATTCCTTCAAGAAGGGATATTGCTTCTATTCTCGGATCATATTTGGTCGTAAGATGAAGAAGGGGAAGTGTCAACCATCTGCCACTTGTCAAAAAAAATTCGACATGTCATCTCCATGTTTGACAAGTTTTAGCAGGAGTTCTTTGCCTGATTCACCGAATTTTAGCAGGCTCGTCTCAGACACAAATGCACCACACCAATAAATCTTCGGATTTTGAAATTTACAAAGATTGATTATGGCTTGACACTAATTTTACAAACCAAATGAACATTCACCGCTTCAAATTAGCAACTTTCGAAAATTCCGGGTACAGCCTGGGGCGCCCTGGAAAACCTGAATTATGACGATTTTATCCCGGAAAACGTGATGAATCAGAAACAAAAAACAAATAATAGAAAGAGGAGAAAAAGCTGCTTCAAATGACACCCGAGTCGCTTGCCGGTTGTTGTTCTGTGAGGTCTGAGTTGAACAAATATGGACTCTGATAGCATTGAAAAATTGATTTCAGAAACTCTAAGAAGCAAGCTAAGAAAAAGAAAAAATTGCTTTGTGTCCTATAAGGTTTGCTCTATCTACCAGTCACTTGTACTTCTTCGAAGATTGGGTACAAAAATTTAGAAAAATAGTCGAACTTGACCATGGCAAAAAGCAAGACTCACAGATTTTGGTAATTTTTCGAGAGCTCATCGAATATTATGCAATGAAATTACAACCGTTAGAAAGAGGACGGAATGCTGTATCGACTGATCCCAAGAGCTTTTAAAAATCTTGGTTGAAATGAAATGTGGCGTTCATTTGAAAAAAGCGACATTACTTTCGGAACGACCTATTACATCCACCACCCATTACAACCTTTGCAAAACGAACATTTAGTCAATGATATGTCATCTTTCCTTGGAGGCAGTGTCCCGACAGAATTTCGTTTTCTACTTTCCCACCTCTTCAGGAACCTTCTCGCCATGAGGAATCCATTTCGGGCTTTTCAGCGCGTGAAAAATGGCGAAAATGAGCTTTTCTTGATGTTTTCCAGGTTCGAATTCAGTGAAGATGCGCTAGAAGTCTTCCGCACCTTCTTTCGTTCCGGGCTCTACCCGCACGTATTCTCTACTGAATGCGGACCTGGAAAGCTTGAAAAAAGCTCATTTCTGCCATTTTCGGCACTGAGAAGACCAGATATGGGTTCCCTATGCGAGAAGGCTCCGAAAAGGTGAAAATTGGAAATCAAAACTCTGCCGAAACACTGCCTTTGAGGCGACCATAGTAGACATCCGCGAAAAAGAGAAAAGTGTAGATTCCAACATCCAAATGTCCATGCACGCTGTAGCAAGGTGCTTCAAGCCATCATTCGAATTATCCTGGCTAAATTTGCTTGGCGAAAACAGCTAAAGAGGTAATTTTCGTTTTTTTTTTGGGGGGGGGGGGTTGCGACGACTTTCGTCGCTTTGTATAGAGCTGTCCACAAGTTTTGATGATACGAATAAATCACCCTGAAACTCGGTGAATCTGTAGACACAGATCATCCTTTGTGTCATTTCTGAAGTGTCCGGGCGAACATCCTCTCTCGAGACTGCCTTCAAATGCTCAGACAATCGATCGGACCCCTCCGCCGGACAGTCGAAATCTGCCAGAGTCGCGCCGGACCCAGTTGACCAATGAGAGCGGGGCGATTGGGCGGTCCCTTCTTGTAGGTCGCGGTGACATCACCGGCAGGCGAGTGGGACCCTTCTCCGGATCTGCTGCAAAGGTAGCCATTTCTGCTCCGGAGGTACGCCAGATTTGGCAGAGCCGCGGCGGAGAAATTTGCCCGCCGCGAGTCCGCCAGATTTGGACGAGTCGCGGAGCAGAAAATCGGAGGGGTCCGGAGCACAAATGGGAGGGCTTCGGAGCACAAAATGGGAGGGCTCCGGAGCACTCAATGGGAGGGCTCCGGAGCACAAAATGGGAGGGCTCCGGAGCACAAGTGGGAGGTCTCCGGAGCACAAAATGGGAGGTCTCCGGAGCAGAAAATGGGAGGTCTCCGGAGCACAAAATGAGAAGTCTCCGGAGCACAAAATGGGAGGTCTCCGGAGCAGAAAATGGGAGGTCTCCGGAGCAGAAAATGGGAGGTCTCCGGAGCACAAAATGGGAGGGCTCCGGAGCACAAGTGGGAGGTCTCCGGAGCACAAAATGGGAGGTCTCCGGAGCACAAAATGGGAGGTCTCCTGAGCACAAAGTGGGAGGCCTCCGGAGCACAAAATGGGAGGTCTCCGGAGCACAAAATGGGAGGTCTCCGGAGCACAAAATGGGAGGTCTCCGGAGCACAAAGTAGGAGGCCTCCGGAGCACAAAATGGGAGGGCTCCGGAGCAGAAATGGGAGGTCTCCGGAGCACAAAATGGGAGGTCTCCGGAGCACAAAGTGGGAGGCCTCCGGAGCACAAAATGGGAGGGCTCCGGAGCAGAAATGGGAGGTCTCCGGCGCACAAAATCGGGGGGCTCCGGAGCATGAGTGGCAGACACCCCGCTGGGGAAACCCCGCGGCCCTGCCGTTTCTCCGCCGGAGGGGTCCGATCCGCTCTGAGTGCCTAACGTAAATGTTGGAGAACATTAGAAGAAATCCAACTTCAAGCTTATGACTTGATTTCGAAACTTTCTAGCACCTCTGAGCAATCTGCCAAAGCTTCAGTTCCTCGATAATTGTCGCAAAAACTTTTCATCTATTCTCTGATTCTGATCTAATTGAAAGAGGCATAACATAGTTGCCGATCTCAGTTTTAATGCCGAAATTTTATTGAATTTTTTTCGTAAAACGAAATATAAGACCTTCATAGATTCGTGACTACTACATGTTCTGTTGCTATCTTTGCGTCCACCCAAGCGATACAAGAGCATATAACATTCAAGCACTTTAACGGAGAGTGACCTATACTTCACGCGATTTCGGTCGCCCCGCGATTTGTCGATTTGCCAAATGCCTTTAGCACAATGCTAGTAGATTAGAACTGGCTAGTGCGTATTGTGACTATCGAAAACGATCGAATGCCGTCATATATTCAAAATCAGCTTATGATGAGCATAAACAACCGCAGTATCGCCAAATCGCCTTGGACTGAAATCGCGTAAGGCTTAAAAGGGCCGGGTATGCTTCATGCGATTTCAGTCGCGACGCGATTTGGCAATTTGCTAAAAGTCTTCAGATCCAACACTAGTAATATGCACATGCACATTGTGTATAACTTACGTGGCTTGATAAAATGCCCTATTTACTGTACATTTAAAAGGTGTTTACAGCAAGTTATGAACAGATGGAATATTGCCAAATCGCGTCGCGACTGAAATTGCGTTATGCCCGGCACTTAAGGCATACCTCACGCGATTCCAGTCGCTGCGCGATCTGGCACTGCAGCGACTTTTCATAACTGGTTGTAAGCGCGCTTTCCATGGGCCAGACTTAAAGTTTCTTCTGTCACTCAAGGCTATGCGCCTATGCATTTTAGACCGCGCACGGTAGATTTGTAAGCATCTGGCAAACTGCCAAGTTGCCTGGATGTAGCGATTTGACGGAATTGCGCGAGGTATGCCTTAGGCCTAAAGTATGCTCGCGGCCTACTTCTGAGGTGATACCTCAGTATCTTCGCGAGTCCATTTCGAAATGTTTAGCTTTCTCAAGAGGGCAGTGATAAAGCAAGACTGTTTACTGCTTGGTATCTGAGAGTGGATAGGATGAAAAGTATGAGTTCCAGAACACTTTTGCACCTGCTGGTCGATCTTCTGTGAGGACAATGGTGAAAAGTGGAGATAGCCTTTCGTGTATGTTACTATAACGTCTTATCTTCTCTCTGAAATCATTTTATCATTATTCAGCTACTACTTCTACAGACACCCAAGAAGCTAGACGACATTTGCGAAAAATTTATTCTAGAGCAAAAAGGTGTGTTCTGCGTTGCTTTCCAAAGGAGTCTTTACGTTAAAAAGCGTGAATGACCAAGAGATTGGCAGAAGACAGATTGATCTTTATTTCTGGCGTTTGTCCTGGCTTACCTCCTGTAGGATTTTGTAGTGGAATAAGCTGATGCAACTACTAAAATTGGAGAGTAATATATGGAATTGAGGGAGCTAAAGCACCTCGAACTCACCATTTTTTGAATTCGAGCACTTTATGATTCAGAATACATAAGGAAGAAGAAGCCATGTTAGCTCTATGCAAGAACTGCATGCAGACTATACGAACAAAGAAAGCAACAGTTGATAAAATGCGAGAAGTGGGAACCTTCTAAATAATCATGTCCTTCCAAATACGGCGCTTATATTTTCTCATGATTGTTTTTTTGCTACAGGAAACAGAAGCTGAAATGCTAGCTAGTGCTGGCAAGCTTGATGAACACATTCGACGAGTCACAAGAATACTTGATAGTGTCACAAAAATGCATATTACGGTAGGCTTTACATATTTATACCGACGCTAAAAGCTATGGTACCGCTACGAACTTTTGAAAGTTGCGGAGTAGTGCCTAAGCAGGAATTTCAGAGTTTCTTATGTGTAATTCGACTGAGAGAATAACTGAGCCATGCTCAAGCATAAGCTCAAGCAGGGATCGGCACAGCTGGCACCGGGTCAGGCTGGACATCGTTTTTAGGGCGGAAAGCGAAGGGGATATCGTTTTTCCGAGTCCAGAGCCGCAAGCATACCCTCGATACATAGAGCCACGTACTCTGGTAACCTTCACTTTGAGGGCTATGGGGGGACACAACTTTCACCTGGAAAAAAGCAGAAGTCATCCGGGGCTTCGCCCCGGATGTTATTCTCCTGACTATGTCGAAAGGAATGTTAATGAAGCGAATATAGGGAATAATATCTTTAGCTTAGCTCAGCGAAACGAGAATTTGCGTTTTCATAGCCTTTTTCACCTTAAAAAGAAGGTTTCTGTGGAATTTTCGCCAGAATTCAAGACAAAATTTCTCAGTTATCCTCTCATTTGAACAAAATCGAGTTTCGGAAGTTTAGAAAAGCTATTGGAGTCAAATAAAAACGAGAAACTGCGCTTAAATCTTGCGCAGAGAGTTGCGCACGAAAACGTCGGTTTATCTCGTTGATGAGTGATTTTCAAAGCTTGGGACGTTGCCAGTTCTCCTCGTCGTGTCATGACGATCAGAATGATATATAATGTTGCAGGGTTTCGTTGAGACCCCGCGGAGATTTACTACCAGAGCCAAATGCCCCGTCGGCTCTGGTCTGTCTCCGCTGCTCGTCTCCGCGCGCTGCGCGCTACCTCGCTACCCCAAACGCGGGGCGCGGGGCATTTGGCTCTGGTACCCTTTTCTTCGCTGTTTCGAACCCAATTTCGGCAAGCTATATATCATTTTGAAGCTCTTGATCTCTATTTTCACGCTGACAACGTCCCAGAACCTCATTTTATGATTTGATCGAAAAATGCGGCAAAAACCTTGTTTTCGAAAATCTGTTGTTTTTCTCCTACTTTAACTATTTTCTCGCAGTTTTTTCGTGCATTCTATAGGTCTTGCTTCTGTTCATAATGCAGACAACCACCCAGCCCTTACCTTTTCGATTATGGTGGAATTTTTTGCGAAAGGTCGTAAAAAGTCCGTTTTTCTTTACCTTGTTCTGTTTCAGTGCTTTCGCATCGATTTTTTACCAACTTGGGCGATTATGGCTCAGAACGATAAGCGCAACAATCCAGACAACGTCCCAGGAAACAGGAACGTCATTGCGGGGGTAAAAATTTAAAGGACGCATCAAAAATCAAAACCCGTGTTGCGAATTGCTGGTCCTGGAGCGAAAACTTGCACTTTGAAAAGCCGCCAAATGAAAGATTTCAGACCTCTCTACAGCGTTTTTATCCGGTTTTCAGCAGTTTCTTTTACTTTTTATATCTGTTTCACGTCGTATTCTCTTCTCTGATCTTTTTTGAACAACGTTCACTATTTACGACGTCAGATGTTCAAACAACCTTCACTTTTGACGCCCTGTTTCTAGACTATCGAAGGTATGGCCGCAAGAATGTCACTGGCATGCCACCGGCATGCTGTCCATCAAACAGACAAAGGCGTTGTTTTCAGTCAAAACGCAATGGTATGACACCAAATTTGGTGTGTGCATGCGCGTTGGGGGAGCCGAACTATGGCCCAAAAATTTTTGAAAACTTATGTGAATGAAATGTGTGCTGAACTTTTTTCTGAATTAGCTGGCACAGTGCCAGCTGGGTGCCAGCTGAGCTGGCACGGACACTTTGCTCACATAAGTTTTCATACTTCTTTACATAAAATGTATCTACATTGTGAAAGTTTACATACAGAGAAGAAACAATTTCATAGTGTTTTCTTTTCAGCGTTTTATAGCCATTTGGAAATTACCCGGTTTGCTCCGCAGTCGAAAAATTGGCTTTTTCTGTTTCTCAAGATGTGATTCAACCACTTAAAAAGCTCAGAAAGTTGTGAAAGTTGTTCCATGGAATCAGCATGCATGAAAACCCTACAACATACTTACATAATCTAAAAATAATGACAGGTTTTCAAAACAGGTCAAAGGGGACTTCGTACGAAATTTTCAAGATCAAACGGGACTTCGTTTTGTAATTTCCCTGGTGCCAGCTCGTGCTGAGCCCTGAGCTCAAGCAAAGTCGCGTGTAACAAAGCTCTATCCTTTCGCCCAGTACCGCACTCTTTCCGAGCAGACCAATCAGCATCCCTGGGTACGGTACCGGCGCGGTGTGTTTGAGGTTATTATTTTTTGGTTAGAACAATTCTCACTTGATTTGAGCAATAGCTCAATCAAGGTTTCTTAAGGAGTATTTCCTAAAATTGCAGGTCTCGAGATTTCGTTAAAAGCTATATAGCTATAGCTAGGGTGAGTGACTTTTCATACGATGAGCAATTCCGAGGTGCGAGGTGTGAACACCTATGGCTAAATGTCAAGTCTCGCACCTCCGCGTCTAGTATACTGTAGAGAGGGGGGGGGGGAGGGGGACTTTTCATACGAATGCCTCCACATCATCTTTTGGCAAAGATCCAGTAAAAACTGGCACCATGCCAGGTTTGGGCCTGCTGGCTCCATTCCAAAAAAAACATCTAGATTAGCTTTTGCAGTGCTGCGAATTTGGATAAATTTGAAAAACTTGAATACTGTATGGATTCAAAAAATGTTCTGCTGTGAGAAATAACACTATGATCTTACGAATCTCACTTGCGAATTTTTTAGTATTCAAGTGGACATAATTCGGTCTCTTTTGCAAACGTTTTGAAGTATTGTCACGTGCCTCTCCGATCTTTCAGCATGATCTGGAAGTGTTATTCCCATAGGATATTGGAGGGGGAAGAGGTCAAGAAGCGCGATTTTTCTGGGTATCATCAACTTAAAACTCCAGTTTCATGCTATGGGAAAATTCAAAAAGTGCCGGACAAAGTTCATTGGTTTACTAGCTGTTTGAAGTAACTACTTGATAAATTTGACGACTTTTGCTAGAAGACTGACAGAAACATTTACAAAATTGCTGTTAACTGCATTTTTATGTGTTTTTGACCTTTAACAATTTTGTTTGAAATCGATTTCAAGATGATGAGATTGAACAATCCCTAAATTCCCTAATATATTTCTTTCGAATTTTCAAGTAATTCCAGAACTTCATAAAACACTAAATATGTGCTGTATGCTGCCCATCTGGCAATAGGAATCGCGCCTCTTGACTTAGCTACACCCATTGGAGGGCATGCGACTTGATAAAGCGAACTATTCATTACCACAATTGTGCCAGTTGTTTGCGAAAATGAATTCGCCGTGGCCTGACGATCTTTACTATGATACGCTATTTTAACCCGATAAGCTTTATACAACAGATAAAGTCAAGATATTCTTTAGTTTACGCATTTTTGATAATGAACGTTTCATTTTTAGTCCATTGTAATCGATAACTGGACTTATTACCAGCACCCTAGCATACCCTAGAAGGTCAAAATGATCGGGAGCGTTCGTATGAAAAGTCCCCCTCCCCCCCCTCACCTGGGCGTAGTGGAGAATCTTACTCATTACGTGGATGGAGAGGTGCGATGTAGGTGTGAGGTAGGTGCGAAGGCTAGGTGCGAAGTCCCCGATCGTATGAAAAGTCCCCCCCCCCCTATAGCTAAGAGTTATTATCCTATTTTCAGGGGTATAAGCCGCGGGGTGGTCCTAGCTTACATCGACCAGCCCGAACACATCAAAGGACCTCGCAATAAAGGACCCTATACCGTGCTCCGTATTGCCTGATTGAGGCGTGCGGCGTAAGGATCGCTTCTCGACACAATGAAGCGGTTGAGCAGCTTGCTTGAAAATTTGAAAAATGCGGCTTATACAACTGAAAATAGGGTTCATGCCAAATGAGGTTACTGTAGCGTACTGTACAGGCGCAAAATACTCCTTCTATAAATGCGCTTTCTATAAATTCTCTATGACTGATTCTTCCATCAAACATCTTACACATTCTCTTCCATATGTCGCTCCTAGGATGCTACCGAGGCTGCGGAAAGACTGGCGAAATTGATGGATATCGACGTCGATGGTGAGGAGAAAATTGACAACCTGCGGAAACGAATCGCCTACTTGGAGTACCATCGTAGATCGCAAGAGGTACTTTCTTTCTTTCCTATAAGAATAATAATAATTCTATTGATTTAGTCGATCTTTTATCGAATTTACTGTTATATCTACTCAAGCATTCACTGGTTAATCAAGAAGGTGATCGAATACTACGAAATCCGACGAGCAATCGTAGCAGCCATGCCACAAGAGACCCTGCCATCCGCATCTTCATCAAATAATGTACAAACTCCAACTCCAAGCTCTTCCACGCCCGTTTCCTTACCAACACATCTGTCCGATGAAGAAGAGGTCACGCTCAGAGGTCTCAGAATGAATGACAAATAGATGCCGTAGAAAACTGATTGAACCACAATCATTCTCGCTTTCTAAATTCTCTGTTTATCCCTTAAAAATAAATATTGAACTAAACTATTGAACTCCATCCTATTGAACAAGCATTTCTTTCTGTTCTACTAGTGAACCAGTAATCTAAAGGTGCTATTCGCAAGAGCATTCGCTTCCCCTCACGCGGTTTCCCGCTATTTGCAGATTTTTGAATTGCGCTTACGTTTTTTTTATATATTAGGTAGATCTGCAAATTAAGATAATAGTTTGGCTAACAAATAATTTCGGTCGTTTTCGCGGCTCCTACAAATGCTGCAGACAAATTTTTGTCCATATTTCGCTAATTCTGGAAAGAAGACTTCATTGAGAATTGGAACGTAAATTTCCTTTGAGTATATTTCATCTAGGGAAAGACGCAAAGAAAAAAAGAAAAGAGAAGAAATACCGGATTTCTCATTATGCCAAATGCGGAAAATTTGCGTTTTTGTTTCACTCGAGAACTTCAAGATGGCAAACCATCTTCTGCTATGAAATGACGAATTACTCATTGCCACATCCATCACAGTATGATAGCGAAGCTGAGAGAATCAAAGTGAACCTTTTAAGACAAGTCTGAGTAGTTGATATATAACAAGAAAATTGGACATTTGTGTAGAAACAAAATTTTTTGCCAACCTGGTACCTCAACGCTTCAATTTCTTCAAAGTTTTGAAAAGTACGCTTGTGCACCTTTTCGTCAATATAGTAAGTTACCCTTTCATCATTCAGCGCGAAGTAGATATGCCCCAAGAGTCACATTGTTATGAGATCCAAGAGAAAGATGGGAAGATTTTTATCTGGGAAAGTTATGGTAACTTCTACATATTTTCGTTCGAGTCTGCTCGGGTATGAATTTGCTCAGATTGCATCTTCCGGCACTATGTGTTCTTTTATCAGCTCTCGAATGAGCTGTGTTGCTCCTTTCTCAAACTTCCTCATGGTTGGGCGGCCAGATCTGTTTACACCATCAAAAATATTCGATCAAGATAGAAGCACAAGACTTGCGTGTTTTCAACAACAGCTGGCAAAAAATTGCACTTAGAGCGTAAATGGACTTAATATCAGGTGCTATCTAAACAGCAAACTGATAGTAGTGTACCATGGGTAACATGCCCTTTTTGATCAAAATATGAAATGATGTTTTGCTGAAGCGCAATTATATTGAGTGGTAACAGAATTGGTGCAGTTTTTTCCAAATCTTGATTGTGGACCATGATAACTTTTTACCCAATTATCTTTCCATGTGCAATAAAAAAACTGTTGCAAAACAAGCCTTTAGCAATCCAGATTGTGTCGTTTGTGTTTGTTGTAAGATCACCCCGAAAATTTCCTGAAGATTTTTTCGAGAACCTTCATTTTGAGGTATCCATTAGGTAAGTCGAATTATGGTAAGATATCTATTGGTTGTGCACCAATGCTATGCTTGAACTTCGCGGAATTTAATCGCCAGAAAAATTTCCAAGACCTGGAAATACACAATTTTTTCGGTTGCGAAGAGACGAAAATTGCATTTTCTGGAATTTTGAATTTTCTCTTACTTTTATGAAGTGCAGAAGAGCCGCAGCGAACATTTGTGTTTGCGTCAAAATTTCTCAGCATAAAAAGTTCTAGAAGTCATGGTTCAATGTTTGTCTTATAACATAACTCACGAATTCCGGTTTTTCGCGGCGGATTTAGATGAAGAGGGTGCGAAAAAATTTTTTCAAGAATTAGTCTCTTAGTTTCAATGGCACTGCATTTTTGAACGCACCCAATCTTGTTGAAAGGAAAGCATACATACGAAACTAGTAGTAACTTTCGAATTATATGTTGGATTCCAAGAAAATTTTTCTAATCCGATTCTTCCGGAAAGAGGTGTGAAACTGCTCAATTCTAATACACCTAATGTTTGGCCTTTTTCGGTTCAGATCGCGACATATCTCTTCCATAAACATACTGCTTTTGGGGAGACTTAAACGAACGGCTACATTGCGCTGTCAACAAAAAATTAACAAAATCCGAAAAACCTAGCACAAGTGCAAAGATTATGATTTTCATAAATTCACTGATCGACTCAGTCGCAGGCATCCCATTTCGGGCTCATGTTGAATGGGCCATCTCCTTGCTCCCTCTCCAGGAAGTGAAAATGCAACAAAATTTCAGCACAATGAAATCACCGAAGTTTGAATTGACTAGACGCAGCGCAACGTGCAAAGAATTGCAACAGCTGTTGGTCGATGTTGGCCTTGTATCCTTCGTTTCCATCTTCTTGCGTGAAAGGTAGCGTGGAAAGTTCATGGTTCAACCATTAAAACAAAGTAAGTAGGTCCTGAATCCGTTATGGATTCAGGACCGATACTTTAATCGCCTTCCCAATGAGGAGCAGAAAGTGTGCGGCTGAAAAGAAGACTCTATACTATTATAGATGTTTCGAACACTCCTCATTCTTCCATGCCCGACATGTACAAGTGATCTGCTAGCATACATTGTGAATATGCCATATGCAAAAGTCAATGCTTCGTTTTTCAATATTTTGGGTTAATCTAAACAGGAGTCCCTTAGCGGTCTCCTAAACCATAACTGAACCATTTCGAATTTTATATGATAACTTTACTGAAACTTCATAGCGGCAGGGCAGGTAGTAACAGAGAAAGCAAATTGGATTAAAATAGAAGTTTTCGGACATTATCGGACACAGAATAAATCTGCTATTTCGCGAGATTAATGCATGTACTCGCGCGAAGACTTGCGACTACATTCCCTCTCGCACGTAGCTGACGAGCAAGTGGGAGGAGTTTGGGATAGATGGGGCGGAGTTTGCCATTTTTCAATTACCTCGTTTTTTCTTGTTTTTTCGTGTCTTTTAAGTCAAATCCCTTACAAACTGTGTGTAAGTGTGTAATATGTGTATACTATAGATGGGGCATGCACGGTTTCGCAATACCTAATTATGAAAGTTGGAGATCTCGGTCAGGTCAAAAACCTGCTTTCGTATTTTCGCCAAAATTTTCATAAGAAACATAAATAACTGTGCTTACCGTAATCTTGTGAGGTTGTTATCCTCTATCCAATGGCGTACAGCATGCCCCAATCGGTGCTGGACCAGAACAAATAACAACAAAAGCACACTGAGACAAAACATTGTCGGAACGCCAATGTCCAAGAATTTCTTTCCCAATCTAATATCAGGTTGCCCCATAATTCTTTCGCTCACTAAATGTATAGATTTCAGGGTACCACTCGATAGAGTAAAACAAGCTCTACAAAACAACATCCAAAAACCTACACAATGTCTGCTTACATTATTTTTGGAGCCAAAAACGAAAAACGTCTAAGGACCCAAAAATTTAGAAAAAATCATACTTTCCGCCAAAAAACCTACTTACCTCCTGCTTGCTCAAACACATACTCTTTTCTGGCATTCATCTATACTGTTGCTTATTTTTCTGGCTGGAAATTATCATTCATTCTCTGACTAAGAGACGCGGACACGCTTTGCGTGCGTTTGATCAACAACTCCGTAAATGAGTTCTAAGGCCTCGGACAGAGTTCACGCGATTTGATCGTCGCGATTCAATCGCCGCGATTTCCAATCATTTTCATTTTACATTCAAGAATCTCGGGCTGAAAAAGTATCACAACCGAAATGCAAGCTGGTCGGCATGCAATGAACTCGTAACAGTTGTCTTATCGCGATTGAATCGCGACGATCAAATCGCGTGAACTCTGCCCGAGGCCTAACGCGATTTGTTGATTACTATTAGGAAGTCGTGAAAGAACGTGTTCAAGCCAGTGTGCATAGACGAGCTCAAACATGTTCTTCCACGTATTTCAAATGTAAATCAACCAAAACGCCTCAAAACTCTTCATGAACTTGTTAATGAAATGTACGCAAAGCGCGCCCGCGTCTCGTAGTCAGAGAATGAATGATAAAAAAAATTCATGCTCTTGCCAAATTGTACTGACAATAAGCTAGTCGTCCGTAAATTTAAATTCTTATATATTTTTAAAAGTATAGTCATGGATCAGCGATCTACAAATGTAAGGTTGAGAGAAATTAAATCTAGAGCAACAAACCTCGGAAAAGGCGACATCTTCAACCTATTTTGACCTATTCGTGCTTCTCGATTTGAAAAATTGTAAAGTATTGAATGATTTCTTATAATTCTTTTGATATTTTCTTTTTAGATTTTGGCTTCAAACTGTATGCGACCATCTTGCAGAGCTTGATTTGCCCTATCGAAAAAAAACAATACTTACTTAGAGAGCAGAAATGAGAGAAAAGAGATGACTTATCAAAATATGAGACAATCTAATATGTTTGGAAGGTGCTAACCTGGGAGTAACCCTAATAAAATTTGAAGTCGTTACACTTCTCTCCGTAGTACATGCATGAAAGAAGTTGGCCAAAATACTTGTCATAGTACAGTTTATAAACCGTAGATTAGAGTGCAAGACTCGAACAAAAATATTGTTTCATACTGAACTTGCCCTCGTAAAACAAAGATGACTACAGTGCACATCGAATAACCACCTCATGCGAAATGTCTTTCCGAAAGCGAAAGGCGGAAGTTCAGAGAGTACAAGGTCTTTTCATCTTATCAGCTGAGAACAACTGACAACAGAGACAAGATCGGACGATGAAAATTTTTTCTCTCTCGCAAATCGATTCAACATGTGCTGCCGTCTATCATTTTGTTCAAGATCAAGACCTTGTCTTTGACCCTTTCAAAGTCGTTTCTTTCAGCTTAAATTATTATAACGACGTTGATAAAGATCGCATCCCTTTTTCTTGCTCATATGGCTAGTTTTAATTGGGTTGATCTCATCTACTCATTTGACCGCATTACATAAATAGATCTAGATATTATCTACAAAAAATCATGCTTATTCTTCTTCACATACTCTTCTTCAGTGCGCCACACTGAAATATACTCTGCATGACTTCCTCCATTTGCTAGGTTGCAGTGCTGACTATTGAACTTGTTTGGGTTCGTGTTAGATAGTCCTATGAGTCTTTTCACATATGAATTTTTAACACAAGTCAGTTGTTCCTGTATTCGTAACAGGATTCGGGATACCATTTGATAGCTTATAACAAGTTCTACTGGCGTTCAGAAGTTCAACAAGCTTGATTCGCATGAATAAGCCTAAATATGGGAAGTTCCAAATCTCTGGAAAAACGAAAAGAATCGTATCCCACTGGGGAGGACCCAAAGTCGAAATCGGCTTTTCAAATGAAATATATACCAGTTTGAAGAGCATCAAACGCTAATTCCAAAACTGCCTTTGTTGTTTGCCGAGCGCCTTTTGACGCTGAGTTATGAGTGTTTTTGGAGCAAGAAATGACAGCAAAATGTGAAATCAATAATTATGATCTTTCCACCACTCAAATAAAGAATGTTGGATACTAATATATATGAAAAAAAGGTCCTCCATGCATAGAGTGGTCTGATACCCAACGCTGGGCCATTTGCGCAATCTTGGACGAATTTGTACCAGTTGCACGTTCAATTTCTTAAGAAAAAAACGCTCATTACTCAGCGTCTGAAGGAGCTTAGAGAATAACAAAAAAAGTTTTAGAATCAGCGTTTGATGCTCTTCAGATTGATGCATAATTCATTTGGAAAGCCTATTTCGACTGCGAGTGCTTCCTTGTCAGTTCAAAAAATTCCATGAACTTTCCACTTTCTCACGCATATATTACCCATCAAATATTCACAAAAACTCTTGTTTTTTTGTGATGGTCAGAAATCAACAAAAATTGATGAGCAGGGTTAGCAACGTCCGCCTATAGGTTCGTAGATTCTCCAACATGCGTTATATAGATAGCTTATTCAATCAGAAATGCTGGCCCTAATTTGCACCGTTGAAGGAATCCGGTTCTTGAGGAACAATAATTCTAAGCTTCGAATATGAAAAGACTCGACAACCTAATATATTTCCTGCCCAATTAACCAAAGAACAAGCTCTAAAAAACAAGCTTCTCTCCCGTGCATTCTCAAACGTGGGAATGATAAATGGGTGCAAATGAAGTTTGCGGCCATTTTAATGCGTAATACTGGCCCAAGTCTGCACTTCCTCACAAAACAAAGCTGGGGGAGGAGCAAAAAGGTGCCTTGCCAAACTATATAACCCTATGTGATTCCCTGGCATTGTCCTTTCATCTAACATTGCACTGATAAAATTACAATATAGACATTGCCACGTCCGTTGTTCGTTCATTGTTTTTTCTGCAAATATAAACTGTGATGTGAAATAGTGAACGTGCACTTGTAGCACAGTGCCGTTAAAACTCTTCACAGCTGCCACGTATTGCCATTATTGATACGCTACCAAATATCGTGCATCTCCCAGAACTGTTCCCATGTGTCATCAATGCGCTGCCTTTCGATCGTTTTAACACGTTAACTACAGCAAATCTGAGGCGCTTATTCGAAGTTGACATGTCATAATGATCAAAAGAGAGCCAAGTTGACGGTTCATATGGGATCAGATCTGGGTCATGAACCATACCTTTTCCCTCACCTTTTCGATATCCATAATTGAGGTTTTGAAATTTTATACCTTGCCTTTTGTTTCTTGACCACCCATCAATCCTTAATCCTTTATATTTTTTGAAAATATGATTTTGTTCGAAAATTTTTCCTGGTCGTATGCCTAGGTGAATGATAGCTGCAAATAACACTGCACTCTTGCGCTTGTCAATATGCCCTTTAATAGTCGCCCTTTTTGAAGCAATAAGCTTTTTGCTGAATTGAAAATGGTGTTGAAGGGTGAATGAGTGCCCGTCGAGCTGCTCCCAGCGTTTTATTTCCAAATTTTTCAAATATCATTATAACGCAAGTCTAGATGAGAAGAATTCTACCTACGCAGTGCACACAGTTGGCATAAGCTATTGTTCATATTGGCTGCTTCCTCCACCCCCTTTTTTTCTTTTCTTCAAGCTGCACTAGAAATTCACGGCTAGGATTTATTGTATTTCCCTCTAACTTATCCTATTCGTGGCTTAGAAAGTATTTGGACCAACAAAAGGGCAGTGACTTGAATTAGAAATCAAATTTCGCTCTTCTTGATTACTTTATTTCCTACTTTCATAACGTTATTTCCCCTATGTCAGCCGTCTCCTTGCTTGAATTGAGCACATGACTTGCGAAATAAATTATTGATACTCAAAACTTCTCAGAGATGAAGGACGACAATTTATCTGCTGTTCTATATGGTGTAGATGATATTCGTCTCGAACAACGCGAAATTCCTGTACCAAACGATAATCAGCTGCTAATCAGGTACATTATTTGTTTTGTAGATCTATTTCAAGTACAAACTTTTCACTAACGAGGGCGTGTTTGGGATCATCACATTCTATTAGCTATTACTTGAGCTTTTGGCTTTCATGAAAGTCCAAAATTCAAACAAACAAATGAATCTATTTAGAGTGCACACGGTTGGAATATGCGGTTCTGATGTACATTACTGGCGACATGGCGCGATTGGAAGTTACGTTGTGAAGGAACCAATGGTGACTTTTTGGACCCATCAATCGCCCCCACATTCATTGTTTGTTGTTCAGGTGCTTGGGCACGAGACCAGCGGCGTAGTTGCTGGCATGGGCGCAAAAGTCAAAGGATTCAAGGTCGGAGATCGCGTGGCTTTGGAACCCGGAGTTCCTTGCCGGTTTTGTCACCATTGCAAGGTAATTTATATAGTTTTCTTGCACCAGAGAAGGTTTAGAGCCCAAAATACAAGCAAGAAAATTGTACATAGTAGTCTGGCAGAGACTGCTCTTATAGTGTTCTTTCATTGTCGGCTCACTTACGCTTTGAAAGTACATAAAAACCTCAAAATATGTGTTCACAGTCATTTCTTGCGCTCTTGTCGACAATGCTGGGGAAACGGTCGGAAAAATTACAGTCTAGTAAGGGATACCAACATAAGTTGGCGATTGAAAACGACATGTATACTATAGTTAGCACCGAATATTCGTGTTCGAATAATTTATTCGAAATCGACTATTCGAATATTCGAGTAGTCGAATATTTGAGAATGTCCATTTATTCGAACTCGAATAGTCGAATAAATGAAAAAGACCTATATTCGAAAAATTCGTTCATTCGACGATTTCGAAAAATGACTTATTCGAATATTCGTTCATTCGAGGAGTTTTAAAAAAAGGTTATTCGAATATTCGTTTATTCGAGTAGTTTCAAAAATAGTTATTCGAATATTCGAATACTCGAATAATATTCGAACATTTATTCGAAATTAGTCGAATATTCGATCAAGTTCGGTTATTCAAGTATTCGTTCATTCGAATTTTGGAATGTGCCAATATTCGAATATTCGAATTCGAATAAAATGAAAAACGAAATTCGAATAATATTCGTTCATTCGAAGAATTTTCGAAAATCAAATATTCGATATTCATTCGTTCGAAAAATTTTCGAAGATCAATTATTCGATATTCATTCATTCGAAAAAATTTCAAAAAATGATTATTCGATATTCGTTCATTCGGCGAAAATTTCTGTTCGTTACAACTATAATGTATACCACTAGACGAGCCTCTAAACGCTGGTTTCAATTTTGCTTTCTTTTTTATCGGAAATCTCCCCGAAAGAATTTATTAGCATTTGAATGTCAAAGTTTGTCAAACATCGAGTGGCTTAGAATTAGCACAACAGCTCTTAAAACACGTACTCGGATTTCTACCGGCTTTGTTCCTTCCTTACAATATGCTTGATACAAAAATGATTACCCGCTTTTAGATTTGTTGTGCAGCTCGCTAATTTTGCGCCTTGATGCTTGACAAATTTGGACGTTTAAAACTCATAATTTCTTCCGGAGACTTGTTCCGCAAAAAAGGAAAGCAGATCCAAAATCAACTTTTGAAGAAGCCCTAGTTATACATTATGTCTTCTTTCGCCAACTTATATTAGTATCCTTCCCTTACAAGCTAAAGTTTCTAATATCTCAACAAAATTAATCATGTAAACTGCCGCTCGAGCATGCCACCGTTCAGAGTGATCCTGAAAATGTTATCGGAATGTCTTGTGAGATCCGTTATGGTCCTGAATCTATTTCTGCCCTCAAAAGGATGGTCTTACAAATTTTATAATTCCAGACAGGCAGATATAATCTTTGCCCTGATATGCACTTCTTCGCCACGCCCCCAGTCCACGGAACCCTGACGAGATATGTGATCCACGATGCCGATTTCTGTTTCAAGTAAGAATGATTTCGATCAAATTCCTTTCATACTTGAACAAAATATTATTGTCTATAATATTCAAAAATGCCAGAAATTCCTACGTAAATGTCATTTATAGAAAAAGCCCGCCTCATTAAAAGATACAACTATGGATTGCAGATTGCCAGAAACTGTCACCTTCGAGGAAGCTGCCCTACTTGAGCCCTTGTCCGTTGGTGTTCATGCCTGTCGACGAGCGAACATTGGAATTGGACAGAGCGTCTTGGTGCAAGGAGCAGGTAAGAATTTCCGGGTGATAAATCCTTTAAACACATCATTTGAAATTTCAGGACCAATAGGAACATTATGTATGATGGTAGCAAAAGCAATGGGAGCAGCACAAGTGGTGATCACGGATTTGGACGAAAATCGCTTAACACTTGCTAAGACATTAGGAGCTGACCATGTTGTTTGCGTCAAGTAAGTAATGCCACTTATAATAATAATGGGCAAATGGCCTTTTGGCATGACAGTATCCATACCAACTGCGTAAAGAATGTCGCGCGCCAATCTTTCCTTCCCACAGTTTTCCCACAAAAGCCACCGTAGAGTTGTCGCCGGCGGTCTTGTACGGAAATGTTCTAACAGCATAAGTCCTCTGAATCGGCCCACACCTTATAACCTCCATATCTTTTCTTTATAGGGGAATGTCGATATTGGACGTTCAGAATGCAGTACTCGATTGCTTACAATGTGAACCCGATGCAACCATAGAATGTACTGGAGCGCAGGCTTGCATGGAGTCATCTATCTTGGTAATCACTAAAGCTTCAGCCCCAAGACTTTTTTATCAGTGATTCTTCAGATTACCCGCTCAGGAGGAGTGATCGTCATGGTTGGTCTTGGTGCGCCACGGAATGATCTACCTATCATAGACTCCTGCCTGAGAGAAGTGGACATCAGGGGTGTTTTCAGATATGCGAACTGGTGGGTCAAAAAATTTATAATCATTTATTTGAAAAAAAAAAACCGATTTAGCTATCCGACAGCATTAAATCTTATCGCATCTGGACGACTCAATCTGACGGGTCTCACAAAGGCGCACTATAAACTAAATGAGACAGTGGAGGCCTTCCGAAGAGCACAAAGGGCGGATGTAATAAAAGTTTTTATTGATTGTAATGAATAAATTATTTATTTTCTTGAGTTCTTGTGTATTTGAGAGTCAAATGAGGTGCAACTGAGATTTTTAAAGCGTTGCAGTAGCAGTACCTTGACTGAGCAGTCAGTAGATCTAGAGAGAAGCCCATCTACAAAGCCTAGAATTCGCTCTGGGAATATTTCTACTTTGCCTCCGTTTACTCGATTACCCATCGGTTTTCCACCAATGCTAGAGCTCGCACATCGCACACGGTTATGTGCACGGGGTTGCACGATATACTTAGGGAAATTCAAAAAAATTTTTCTTTCGAATATCCGAATTTCGAATAATATTCGAAAATGGAAAATTTCGAATATCCGACACGACATTCGAATGATGTTCGAATACCGAGTATCATTCGACTTTGAAAGAAATGCCGAAGGGACCTTTGCGACTACCACATACCACTGGGAGCGTTATTAAACGAAAATGGGATACCAACAACTTCCCGCCGAGAAATAGAATCGATCGCGAAGAGTTTCTACACCAACCTCTTCCGCTCATCAACACCCGTGCCAGACCCCGCTGTTCCCACTGGAGACATACCACCACGAATTCTTCCTGCTGAAGTACGCGTCGCGATCCAGACCATGAAGACGTCCACAGCTCCAGGACCAGACCATCTTTCCGTGGACCTGCTGAGAGCTGGAAGACACTGTCTACACGAGATTCTGGCGGCGCACCTAACATCTTATCTTCAGAAGGAAAGGATTCCCGACCAGTGGAGAACGTCAAGAACCGTTCTTCTCTTCAAGAAGGGCGAACGGGAAGATCTTCGAAACTATCGTCCGAAATGCCTGTTGAGCGTGCTGTATAAGCTTTTCACCAAGATCATTCTCACTCGCATCTCAAGGACACTGGATGAAGCCCAACCTCCATAACAAGCTGGATTTCGCAAGGGATTCAGTTGCATGGATCACAACCACACGGTTTCGAGGGTCATAGAAGTTTGCCGGGAGTACCGATTACCTCTCGTCCTAACCTTTGTCGACTACGAGAAGGCATTTGACAGCGTCGAAACCAACGCTATCCTGTCAGCGCTAGTCGATCAAGGAGTGGATCCGTCATATGTGAGGACTTTAGCCAACTGCTACAAGGACTGCACTACAACGCTACAGCTGTTCCATCGCCCCCTGACCGTACCAATAGGGAAGGGAATCCGACAAGGCGATACCATATCGCCTAAGCTGTTCACGGCGGCCTTGCAGTGGGTGATGAAATCACTGGACTGGAATGAGAGAGGTATACGAGTTGATGGGAGATTCCTCTCGAATCTTCGTTTCGCGGACGACATCGTTCTCTTCTCGAGCAGTATCAATGAAGCCGAGACGATGTTAAAGGAATTGAACGAAGTAGGGAAGACGATTGGACTGCGAATCAATCGGAAGAAGACCCAGTTCATGAAGAACGGCCTAATTGAGGATACGGAATTGAAGCTGGAAGATTCCCCAATCACGGAGACCTCTTCTTACGTGTATCTAGGACGTTCAATGAACATGCAGAACGACTTGAAAGAAGAACTTAACAGAAGGCGAAGAGCAGCTTGGGCCGCTTACGGGCCTTTGAAAGAAACCACCGACCAACTAACGGACCCTGCGCTCCGAGCTCATCTGTTCGATTCAACCGTTCTCCCAGCGCTCTGCTACGCAGCCGAGACGTGGGCTGACACTGCTGCCACGTCGAAAGCTCTTCGTACCACCCACAGAGCGATGGAGCGGAGTCTTCTGAAGTTTAACCGACGTACGCAACATCTTGCCGGACTTCGCAGTTCTGATTTAAGAAGTATGTCCCGTCTACGAGACCCAGTCGAGTATGTTTCGAAGGTAAAGTACCGATGGGCCGGTCACATTGCAAGAAGAACAGACGACAGATGGACGTTAAGAACGCTGGAATGGATCCCTCGCGATGTAAAACGCCCTCGAGGAAGACCCCCCACCAGGTGGGCAGATGTGTTCGTGGAAAGGATGGACCAGCTGAAAAACCAGCTGGAAGCGAATTTTACACCTAGATCTCGTGATCTTCGCCATCAACGACCGATACGAAAATCGTGGTTGACGCTTGCGAGGGATAGGAACGGATGGAAGCTGTGCTGCAAGACTGTGCTTTGCAGCTTCAAAAGGTATCAAAAACTCGCTTCCTCAGAAGTGAAAAGTGCTATCTGGGCGGACGGCGTATGCCTGCGCTCTAGAGCGCGATTAGGTCGTGAGTGGAGACACCGTACCCATCTCCAAGGCAGGTGGATTACTGGCTTTAACAGCGGCTTTCGCAACCCGCCCAAACAGCACTTTTCAAATCCGGGAAGGCGAGTTATTGATATCCTTAGAAGCTGCTAAGCACGGTTTCAGACTCAGCCCATCCAGGGGAACCGAGAACGATGAATATCCCAAAGTTGTCATTTTGCGAGCGCTGCCTTGTTTAAGATCTTTCACCCACATCATCTGAAACACTTTACAAGATCCTTTTATAACCCCCTCTCCCTCTCTTCCGAAATAGGTAGCGCACGGCAAAAACAAGTAGAAAAAAACTACCCATAGTGCTGGCATTCTCGTGACGTGAATACCTGGGGCGCAGTTTATTAATCATAATGAAAGTGTAATAACGAACACTAAACTTTGTGAAAAATACTGCTTCGTAGCGTATTTGTCCTCGTACAGCAGAGATGCGCTGATCTTTTCGATAACAAAGGCGGAAGTTAAAGAGTACGATATTTTATCAGCACATTGAAAACAACTGAAAAAACAACAGCAAAGGCAAGATTGGACAACAAATTTTCTCGTTAGTGGGATCCATCATATAACAATTGTGCTATTATCTTTAGTTCGAGCTTAGCATGCATTTGACCTTTTGAGACTGTTTTTCTTCGTCAAATCATATTTCAACAGCAATCCCGCTAGAAAGTACTAGGTTCTCTCATAAGTTTTTTCAACTTTGGCTTTTTACCGCAATAAGTCACAGCTTCTTGATTCTGGTTAGAATGCAGGGTACCGCTCTATAGAGCAAAGCAAGCTGTATAAGTCGCCATGTAAGTAGTTGTAGTAAGTATGTAGTTCGCACCAGCTTCACCACATCACGGATTAGAAGCCGAATTCTGAGAACTTTTGGATGCCCAAAAAATCTAAAAAATTTTCTATCTTTGTAAGACTTACCAAATCCTAAACTTGCTCACGCATATACATTCCACATAACAATCATATATGCCGTTGCTGTGTTTGTTTCCGTGCTAGAAACCGAGAAAACTAAAGTTTTCAAGCTCCCAAACAAGGGATGCTGCGCTGTTCTCACATTAATAAAAGTATACTAAAGGCCTTCAGAAATGCGCCGGCACCGAAAGCTCTCAGATTTCTACTTCTTCGTGATGTGGTGTAGCTGGCGCGAACATTTACACGGCATCTTGTACAACTTGCCTTGCTCTATTGAACGGTACACTGCATTCTAATCAGAATCAAGAAGAGTGTGACTTGATGCGGTAACAAGTTAAAATTGAGAAAACTTTGAGACAACCTAATAGTGGGGGCAGAATGACGAAGAATGGTTGAGAGTGCAAGAATGTGCAAACCAAAGTTTTTTCTTAGAGCGGTTACCTTCTACCTGAAATTACCAAGAAGGCGATCCTCCACATTTTGGGGCCTTCCCGCCATAATCGCGAGAACCTTCTTTAGAATAAAAGTAATCATTTCTTTCACATCCTTACAAATATAGGAATCCGTGCCATGTGAAAAATTCCTTTTTTATTCTAGGTCTTCCCTCCAGAAATGACGCAAAGCCCTTGAACGAACGTCCTCGGGTGCCAGAATCATTTCCTTCATTGTAATCAGAGCCAGCACGAGGGTGGCAAATGTAATTGAACAGCGTTTTAGGGAAAAAGGGAAAGAGAGGTCGTAAATTTACGTTTACATGTACATGCACTCTCCTGACAAGTTGCTACATATACATGCAAAAACACGCTCCGCGCGTCACCTTCGAAACAAATTACATTCCGTGACCACACAGTCAAGTTTGTCGTTTACAGCGCACACTTAACGACATGTATCCGAATTTACAAAGGCTAGAAGGAGCATAATGCAGAGTGTGGAAAAATCATGAGACTAAAGATTCTGGCAAGTTTTCATCTGAAAGTTTCTTTATTTGTGAAAATGAAAAAGTAACTCGTTTGTAACGCACAGGTATTGACTCCATCTGGTGTTTATAGGCCTTTTGAAATCCAATTGCTCGCGCTGCGCTTTGAACACCAAGGCGTGGAGCGGCCGGAGACGTGAGGTCCCGACGCCGTATAGGCTATTCACAGGCGGTTATGAGCGCGCACCTTATTTACACGTATTTTATAAACTTTCAAAGACACTTATGACTAAATCATAATGTGCAACGCTGAAAACAACGCGGATGTTGACCGGGAAATATATGAGTAAATGAGACCGCCTATAGTGATTCACGACGACCGCTTGTTTATGTCTTCAAGGCACGGCGCAGGCAGTTAGATTTTAGAAGGAGGCACACTATGATAGTGTGAAAACCAGGTCTCGCACATTAGGCAGCCAGACCGTGGCGGTACCCGCTGGTACCCGTTGATCCTGCCGGGACCCACCGGAACACAAAAGAAGGGGATATGCCTGGAAA